GTGTTGTTAATTGCAACAAAAAGAGGCTGTGGGGTGGCATGGGGTTGGGCTTGTCACTACTACCCTAACCAGAGAAAACAAGTTGACTTCACCTCTTCCTGTTTATTCACTCATCAGCTATAGCCTGTGGTGACCTTTAGGTACCCATGCCCTCACAAGTCTTCTCCTTGCCATCGGATTAAAGTCAGAGCAGTATTCATTTTACACGCTAGTACAAATGCATTTATAGTAATACCATAAGTGGATTTTGGAGGTGGCATTATTGGTAAGCTATTTCTAAGAAGTTTTAGGGCAAAAGGGCCAGTCAGTTTCCTCCAATTCTAGTCCAGTACTTTTCCCTCAGAGACTGTGTCCCCAGTCTTTCTGCACAGGTCAGTCTATGCTTGTCCCGAGATGAAAGGCTGCTCACAAATCTGCCACCTAGCTGGTTGTGGGGAAGCACGGGACTTCGTTGGAAATCTGTAAGGAGGATTCTCCGAAAGGTTGGGGGCCTCTAGGGGGACCTTGTCAAAGGCGGCAGCCCCTGCCTTGATTTTTCCAAACAAGTCTGAGCCCCCAGGTGTTTTGCTGGAATCTCTATGTTTAGTCTTTAGACCCAACCTTGTAGAAGCATGTGCTTTCTCAAGGATACTTACCCTGCTGATTGTATCTAGAGGTTAATTTGAGTTCAAGCTGTTGTTACAATAAAAGCCTAAGGAGGCAGGCAATCGGGGTTGCTTTGGGTCTCCTGCCATACAGCCCCTTGGCCTTCTCTTTCACAGAAACGTGTGTCAGAGTAATCCATTCATCCATCGCTCAGGGTCTGCTGGTCAGTCCCGGCAACTGGTTCTTCCTCTACTGTTTCAGCCCCTACCTAATGCCCCACCCTTAAGACTCTCCAATCTTGGGGACTGAGAATCTATTCCTCTGTCTCACACCATGGCACTTGGCTCATCTATCCTTGCCCTCCCCTCCAAGCGTGATGATCCAAGCGTGTCCTGTCAGCCAGTTAGTCGGCTGGAGCTCAATGTCCCAGAGTTCCTGTTTCCTTGAGTTATCAAGAGCACCTGAGAATGTGAGCCTGTGTGAGAGATTGTGTGTCTGAGTATGTTTTTGTGGCAGGAATGGGGGTGGGAAGACCAAAAATTGTGAATGACTTCAGTCAAAATGTTCGAGTGATGTTACTTACAGATACTTGAGAACTAACATGGAGAGAGGAAATCCAGTTTGTCTGTATAAACTGAACGTATGAGATCTGCTTCCTCTTCATGATTGATTTGACCATACGCACAATGGTAACCATACAAGTTGTCAATATGGGCCAGATGAAATTGTAAGCTATGTTTATTTACAATGTGACATTGTTTTGAACTTGTGTTGATTATCTACAATGATTTTCTACCCATGTACTCTGCTCACATGGGAAAAAAAATTAGGGGACATGATTAGCATTTCTGAGATTAACTCCCAGGTGCCTCCTCTCTTTTCTTTTGGCATCTGCTGGGCAGCTACATTGCAGAGGTCATGGTGGTTGCAAAGTACAAGAAAAGAGAGCATATGTAATAAAAGGTGTAATTTTCCTAAAGCAGTATAAAACTGTTCCTCAGTACTCAGCACATATAGCTTATATTTACTGTATATGCTTTTTCTCTATTCTATTTACCACCTTTGATTCCTGGGAGATTAAATCTGCACAAGCGTAGATACATACTAATATGATGAACTTTAAAATGTTATTTTCCTTCCTTTATCATCAATGATTATCATTTAAAGTTGTTATGAAAGCTTTGTGACAGAGGTTATACTAAAATTGAAAGTATACGAACTTACTGAAAATCATGTAAAAATTAGCTCTGTTTCTAATGTGGTTTCTCAGATTGATTAATTTATGCGATTGAATTGTTCTATTCTCTTGTAAACATACATTCACACTTTGCAAACTTGCACACCTGCAAAGTAAAGTGTGATGGTATTTGTGATATTATCATTGTTTCATCAAGAATGATAACCCAGTCAGGTTACTTTTAAAATCTCACTTTACAGGCCATTATATATCACCTTCCTGTTTCAATAGAGTGGAAATTGATTCCATAAAGGTCTTAAAGGTCAGAAGCATCGTAAATTTAATAATAATACTTTTAAAACACCTTGGCATTTATGAAGCGTTGTTGGACTAGTTTAGAAATAGTTTGAAGTTGTTATAAAGTTTAACATTGTATAAAAGGACTTCCCCAAAAGATACATGTATCAGTTTGGATATGGTGAACTTTTTTCTTTAGGGATGTATGTGTCTTTTAAAAGCTTAATGTATTTGTATTGAAACCATGACAAAGATACCCCTCTAATAGGTTTCAGTCTGAATTTTAACAAGTATTATAGAAATCATGGAATCGTCTCTGTTTCTCCCTCTTTCTAATAGTATATCTTTCATTATTCCATTGTATCTCCCTTTGGCACTTATACACACTATCATGTAACTGGAACCATGTCAGGTGCTAGGGATCCTGAAATGAAAGGATACAATCAGTCTCTGCCCTAAAGAGACTAAGTCTAGTTGGTGAGAAGTATAAAAAATTAATTACAGTATTGGGTGTGGAGCTGTCAGGAAAGTCTGCCTGGAGGAGGTGATGGCTGAGCTGGAAGGATGCGTGAGAGATGACATCGAGATGAAATTAATCTTATCTGGAATATTAATGGGTTTTGGCCATGATAGCTTTCTTTATACCAAAAATGGCAGAGTAGGGCACCCCACGGTTTTATCCCTCCATTAAAGCAACTAATGAGCCGGCAAAAACTGTCAGAATCAACTTTGCAGAACTTTGGAATCTAGTCGAAAAATGTATAACAACCAGGGGAAAGCTTAATGAAGAAGCTGGTGCATTGCAGCAAGAGAGTTCTCTGGTGTTTTAAATAGTCTATCTATCCTTCCCCATATTCCACGCCTGTATTCCTGGTGCCAAGGACCTGAGGGGGCAATACAGACCTTGTTCTCAAAGACTTGTGGTTGTGTATTTTGATCTGTCTGGTGGTTCCCTGAAGGACTGGTGCACAGGGCCTGCCTTTGTTCCTCCTAACTCAGACCATTCTCAGGTTTGGGGCAGCTTCCCAGGTAGCATTTGAGAAAAGCACTTAAAGGCACAAGTATTGGCTTTAGCAGCCCGGGACAGCAGACAAGACACATCAGAAGGCCTGGGAAGAAACAGCTTTAGAAAGGAGATATGTCGGGGAATGTGGGCTTTTAAAAGCTCCTGTGTAAAGCATGGAATCAAGAAGGCCATGCATATGCCCAAGACAACACACATACTCAGAAAAGGCTTAATCTTCAGAGAATATCCTAAACTTTCACCTCTGGCTGACCTTCAGGCTCTGCACAAGCAGAAAATAAAGGTGAAGGCAGTGTTGTAAATGGCCTGGCTAAGCATTGAAAGGAGTGTCCCAACACAGAGGCAATCTTCAGGGTGGGAGAGTTTTAAAAATTCTTTTTAAAAAAATATTTTGAGACTTCAGGTGGCTATCGATAGATTTCTAATCCATTGACCACTAAACCTATGGAACACAGACTTCTGTGGCCACATATGCTAAAGAATAAAAAGTTTACAAACATAATTTAGAAAAGTAACTAAAACAGCAATCCTAAACAAACAGTAACAACAAACAAAACAAAAATTGAGTTAATTTTTGTGTATGGGGTGAGGAAATAGTCTACTTTCATTCTTTTACATGTGGATATCCAGTTATCTCAGAACTATTTTTTTAAGAGACTGTTTCTTTCTGATTAAATGGTCTTGGCACCCTTGTTAAAAATCAGTTGACCATAGATGTATAATTCTATTCCATTGATCTGCATGTCTATCTTTATGCCAGTATCATTCTGTTTTGACACTCTTACCTTGTAGAAAGTGTGAACCCCCAACTTCATTATTTAAATAGTGTTTTGGCTACTAGGGTCCCTTGCAATTCCATGTTAATTTTAAGATCAGCTTTTACATTTCTGCAAAAAAAAAAAAAAAGGACTCAAAGTTTTAAGGGGGATTGCATTGAGTCTATTTTGGTAGTTTGTATGTTTTTTAGGAATTTGTGTTTCATCTAGGTACCTAATTTGCTGGCATTTTCTTATAATCCTTTTTATTTCTGTAAGGTCAGTAGTAAATGTCCTCCCTTCAAACCAGATTTTAGTAATTGGAATCTTTCTTTTTCTCTTGAACAATTGTCTTAAAAATTTGTCAATTTTATTGATCTTTTAAAAGAACCAACTTTTGGATTTACTTTCTCTATATTTTCCTTTTCTCTGTTTTGCTTATCTCGATTCTAATTTTTGTCATTTTTTCCTTCTGCTTGCTTCTAATTCCTTAAGGTGGATAGTTATGTTATTAATTTTAACAGTTGTATGTTTCTTTTTTTAAATGTAGGCATTTGCAGCTATAAATTTCCCTCTGAGCACTGCTTTCACTGAATTCCATTAGTTTTGGTATGTTGTATTTTGTTTTCATTAATCTCTACTTATTTTCTAATTTCCCTTGTGATTTTTTTCTTTGACCCACTGGTTATTTAGCAGTGTTGTTTAATTTTCACATATTTGTATATTTTTCATTTTTTCCTGTCTTATTGATTTTAATTTCATTCCATTTTGGTCAGAGGACATAGTATGATTTCAATCTTCATAAACTTATTAAGACTTATTTGGTGGCCTAACATATGGTCTATCCTGTAACAGCTTCAATGTGCACTTGAGAAGAATATGTAGTGTGCATTTTTTGGGTTGACTGTTCTGTAGATGTTTGTTAAGTCTATTTGCTTTATAGTGTTTTTCAAGTCTTGTATTTCCTTATTGATCTTCTATAAAGCTTTCTGTCAATTTTGGAAAATGGAGTATTTAAGTCTCCAACTATCCCTGTAAAACTGCCTCTATCATCTCTCAATTCTGTCTATTTTTGGCATATATTTTGAACTCTCATTTTAGATGCATAAAGTGTATATACATTTATAACTGGTATATCTTGATGGATTGACATTTTCAACATTATATAATATCCTACTTATCTCAACATTTTGCCTGAAAATCTCTGATATTTGGAGAGCTACCTCCACCTGTCAATTGCGTAGCGTTTGCATGGAAAAGCTCCATTTCCCATAATTCTCAGGGGATAGGCCAAAGAAGGCGGGTCCCAGAAGGCCTTGCGGCTAGACAGTTGTGACGCAGCACATGGTCACAACGGTTCGGAGTGGGCTTGGTGCGATAGTCAGCTTTGGTGTTAGTGAGGAAAAGGAGGACGTGAGGTAGGAAAGAGGCCGAGGCCGAAGCCGGGACTTTGCTGGGGCTGGACTAAGACTGAACTGGGAGGTGAGGGGCGCACGAATTGGCAGCCGCAGCTTTTATTTTTGACGGTGACGGTGGTGGCGGCGCGGCCTCGTCGCCGGTGAGGTGGGCGGTTGACTAGGCCTCAGCGGCCATGGCGGCGAATTTTGGAGACTGTGCCGGCGGGTTCCGCCACAACGAGGTGATCAGTTTCATCAACAACGAAGTCCTCCTGAACGGGGGCGGCCCTGATTTCTACACGACCCTCCGCTCGCAGTCCTGGAACGAAATCGAGGACCGACTTCAGGCCGTCCTGACCGACCCGCAGGTACCGCGCATGCGCCAGAGGGCCAGCACCTGGAGCGCGCTCGCTTTGGGAGTGCGCGTGGCCGCGAGGCAGCGTGAGCAGCTAGTGTGCCAGGTCCGGCAGCTGCAGGACCGGGTGGAGGAGCTGGAGGCGACCGCCTGGGGTCTGGCTCCAGAGCTACAGAGGCTTCACGTGGAGCACGAGAACATGACCTTGCAGCTGCACTTAACACGGACTGCCCTGGAGCAGGCGCTGAATGAGCGTGATGTGCTTCACTCGCAACTGCTCCTGGTTGCAGGGTCGGTCCAAGTTGCCCTAATGAGCCGTGCAGTGATGCCTGGGCCTCAACCCGGGTGGTTCGGGGCCCCAGCATGGCCCCTGAATGAAGAGCAGCAAAGAAATATGGAGGCCGTGGGGATGCCTGGCAGTCCCTGGGCCCAGAACATGCCACCACCTCTGCCGGTGTCAGTGCCATACTCATTTCCATTTCACCCACCATTCCCACCGGAATACCCATTCTTGCCACCTCTACCACCAGGAGCAGTATTCATGGAAGCAGGAGGGGCAGTAATGCCACCTAAGCCACCTCCGGGGTTCTATACCCCTAACCCGTGGGCTGCAGTGTGGGCACAGGAGGAGATGGCCCCTCTGTGGAACCATAGGATCCCCAGCCAGGAGGAAGGTCCTGAATTCTTTCAGGATACAGTCCCCTTAGGGGACATCAGAAGCCTTAGCCAGGAACAAGATCTAGAGAGGCCACAGGGCATAGTGAACCTGAGTGACAATAGGAATCACAGCCATGAAGACAGTGCAGTGGGGCCCCAGGGGATAGTTCCCCTTGGGGATTGCTGGAGCCACAGCCAAGAACAACATCTAGAGAGGTCCCAGGGCGTGGTTACCATGAGTGACATCAGAAACAGCCAGGAGGAAGGCCCAGAGAGAGCCCAGAATATGGTCCCCCTGGAGGCTAGTGGGAGGCATGGCCAAAATGAAAGTTCAGAAAGACCCCAGGGGGTGGTTCATCTAGGGGGAAACAAAAGCCACTGCCAGGAAGGAGATCCAGAGAGTCCCCAGGGGACTGTCCCCCTTGGAGGCAGTGGGGGCCAGAGCCAGGAAGGAGATCCAGAGACACCCCAGGGGACTGTCCCCCTTGGAGGCAGTGGGGGCCAGAGCCAGGAAGGAGATCCAGAGACATGGGAGTGCGCGTGGCCGCGAGGCAGCGTGAGCAGCTAGTGTGCCAGGTCCGGCAGCTGCAGGACCGGGTGGAGGAGCTGGAGGCGACCGCCTGGGGTCTGGCTCCAGAGCTACAGAGGCTTCACGTGGAGCACGAGAACATGACCTTGCAGCTGCACTTAACACGGACTGCCCTGGAGCAGGCGCTGAATGAGCGTGATGTGCTTCACTCGCAACTGCTCCTGGTTGCAGGGTCGGTCCAAGTTGCCCTAATGAGCCGTGCAGTGATGCCTGGGCCTCAACCCGGGTGGTTCGGGGCCCCAGCATGGCCCCTGAATGAAGAGCAGCAAAGAAATATGGAGGCCGTGGGGATGCCTGGCAGTCCCTGGGCCCAGAACATGCCACCACCTCTGCCGGTGTCAGTGCCATACTCATTTCCATTTCACCCACCATTCCCACCGGAATACCCATTCTTGCCACCTCTACCACCAGGAGCAGTATTCATGGAAGCAGGAGGGGCAGTAATGCCACCTAAGCCACCTCCGGGGTTCTATACCCCTAACCCGTGGGCTGCAGTGTGGGCACAGGAGGAGATGGCCCCTCTGTGGAACCATAGGATCCCCAGCCAGGAGGAAGGTCCTGAATTCTTTCAGGATACAGTCCCCTTAGGGGACATCAGAAGCCTTAGCCAGGAACAAGATCTAGAGAGGCCACAGGGCATAGTGAACCTGAGTGACAATAGGAATCACAGCCATGAAGACAGTGCAGTGGGGCCCCAGGGGATAGTTCCCCTTGGGGATTGCTGGAGCCACAGCCAAGAACAACATCTAGAGAGGTCCCAGGGCGTGGTTACCATGAGTGACATCAGAAACAGCCAGGAGGAAGGCCCAGAGAGAGCCCAGAATATGGTCCCCCTGGAGGCTAGTGGGAGGCATGGCCAAAATGAAAGTTCAGAAAGACCCCAGGGGGTGGTTCATCTAGGGGGAAACAAAAGCCACTGCCAGGAAGGAGATCCAGAGAGTCCCCAGGGGACTGTCCCCCTTGGAGGCAGCGGAAGTCAGAGTCAGAGCCAGGAAGGAGATCCAGAGAGGTCCCAGGGGACTGTCCCCCTTGGAGGCAGCGGAAGTCAGAGTCAGAGCCAGGAAGGAGATCCAGAGAGGTCCCAGGGGACTGTCCCCCTTGGAGGCAGCGGAAGTCAGAGTCAGAGCCAGGAAGGAGATCCAGAGAGGTCCCAGGGGACTGTCCCCCTTGGAGGCAGCGGAAGTCAGAGTCAGAGCCAGGAAGGAGATCCAGAGAGGTCCCAGGGGACTGTCCCCCTTGGAGGCAGCGGAAGTCAGAGTCAGAGCCAGGAAGGAGATCCAGAGAGGTCCCAGGGGACTGTCCCCCTTGGAGGCAGCGGAAGTCAGAGTCAGAGCCAGGAAGGAGATCCAGAGAGGTCCCAGGGGACTGTCCCCCTTGGAGGCAGCGGAAGTCAGAGTCAGAGCCAGGAAGGAGATCCAGAGAGGTCCCAGGGGACTGTCCCCCTTGGAGGCAGCGGAAGTCAGAGTCAGAGCCAGGAAGGAGATCCAGAGAGGTCCCAGGGGACTGTCCCCCTTGGAGGCAGCGGAAGTCAGAGCCAGGAAGGAGATTCACAGACACCCCAGGGGACATCCCTGGGGGGCAGAAAAAGGCATGACATGAGAGAAAATAAAAAGAAACAGCAGTTTTGGGGGCAGAAGGCCAAGCAACCAAAAGGGATAAGAGCCTCAGAATCCCAGCACCATGAGATGTCTGCCTTATGCTACAATGGACAGAACTGGCACTGCACCTGGTGTAGAGCTGTAAATTTTCCATGGCGCAAGTTCTGCTATATTTGCAGGAAATTCTGTATTTGAGAGTGGAGACCTGGACCCAGGACAAACTCATTTCAGGAAGGTAAGTAAGAATGTAAACATTCCAAAGAAAAATAAGTTTCCTAGGACACCCTTCTGATCAAAAAGTAACTCATTTACTTTACAGAAATTTTGAAATCAAAATTATCATAGAAAAAATTAAATAAAATAATCCATTATTCCATTACTCAAACTAACAGCTTTTTATCATGGTGGGTACACACACAAACACATATGTATTTATATTATTTTTTCTTCTTTTTTATTTTAAATTAGATTTATTGCGGTAACGTTGTTTAGTAATATTTTTAAAAATAAACTCGAACAAAGAGAATGTTTTTTAATATCACACTCTTTAAATAGGGGATTTCTCCTAGTTGCATTTAAGTCCGAAGGTGGTCTAGTCTGGATGGCTGATGCTGATTGGTTGACACCCTGGAGATGCTGAAGTCATGAAGCCTTTTTTTCCTTTTCACTCCTTTCTGTTGTCTTTAACCTCCTTTTCCTGATAATGCCATGTCTTTGGCTGGGAAGAGCCATGGGTTTTTTTAGAGTTATACACTATATTGAATTTTAGAAGCACTGCTTTTCCTTGAAAATGCTATTGTTCCTTTGTAAACTACTGCAGTGTTCATGTTTGCTTTTTTTTTTTTTTAAGTCTTACAGGTGAAGGCCTGATTTTGTGTTTCTGAGTCTCACAGAATTTGCTTGTTGCTGAAGAAACTGAATCTGCCCCATGAGAAGATCTCCCAAGAGCCTCAAGATATCAAACCAGCCAAGAAGAGTGAGGAGTCAGAGAAGAAGAAATGTGTTGGCATTCATCAGGGGGGAAAATGGGGACAAAATAATTTTGTTAAAATTTAATTTCTCTGTTGGGACAAGGAATTAATTGATAAGATTGCAGTGTTAAATCCACAGATAGCAAATTCGATGAATTTGATGAAATTTATTTTAAAAAGTTATTCTCTAGCATGTGTTTGGAACTAGACTTATATGTTAAATATCTGGTGTACACGCCCTGGCCAGTTTTCGCAGTGGTTAGAGCATTAGCTCATGCACCAAAGGATTACAGGTTCCATTTGTGGGCAAGGGCATGTACCTGGGTGGTGGGCTCCATCCCTGGCCTCACTATCCCTGGCCTCAGTTGGGAGGCAACCAATTGATGGATGTGCCTCTCGTCATATCGATGTTTCCCTCTCTCCCCCCCTCCCTCCCTTCTACTCTCTCTAAAAATCAACTGAAGAAATATCCTCAGGTGAGGATTAACAGGAAAAAATACCTGGTGCCCACATTATAACTTATTTGGTGAGTTTGGTTAGATAACAGAAGAGATACTTTGCCATTCATCAGGGGTAAAAGGGGGGACAAAATAATTTTGTTAGAATTTAATTTCTCTGTTAGGACAAGGAATTAATTGATAAGATTGCAGTGTTAAATTCCACAGATAGCAAAATAAGAGGTGATTTCTTTGCCTTTTATGTAGTGTGACCCTTAGGTAAACTCAATTGAAATAACATTCAGATATTTTTGCGGTTCTGAGAGTAACATCAAATAGAAATGCTCATCACGTTAATCCCAATGGAGACGAATGGGCAGTGGCAAAGATCAGAAATAGCCTCCCAAGGATGGAAGCGGGACTTTTCTAGTATTCTGCTGATTTCCTCCCTTGAGAGGGACAGCTGTCCTGGTTGCCTGAAAGGCCACTGGGTGACTGTCTTGAAGAGCAGTGCTTCAGGAGTGTTGGCTATACACTCGAGCCCTGAGCCTCGGCCACTTTCATCGCAAGTCCCCTTCCAGTCAAGAGTGGATGAAGAGCAAAAGGAATTCCAAGCCAGACATTGCACTTCTCTTGGGAAGGCTAACTGGATTAAAAATAGACTGGACTGGGTGGGACAGGCACTCTTGAGAATGCTCCTTCCACTCGGTGTATTCTGGACAGGCTCTCCACTCCTGAGGCAGCTGCTGCAAGGGGGCAGCCAAGGTGGAGCCGGGGGTGGGGGCAGGGAGGAGGAGTTAGATCAGCCTCCTGTTTGAACATAAGGTGTCCTAGAGTTTCCCCCTTGAGATCTGTCCAGTTCATGTTCACCCTTTGTTGAGTTTTCTCTGATTCTAACTAGAAATAAAGCGTGTGCACTTTCCTGCTGTGTCTTCTGGGTAGTGTGCATCTCGGGTCTGGTTTGCTCAAAGGCTGCAGCTTAAATCTGCATCTTCCCTCCATCCCACTGAGGTGAAAGGTCAGTCTCATTCACTACTGAAGAGCCCTCCTCTTCCTGAGAATTACTCAAGAATGGGAGGGGGAGCCCTGGCTGGCATGGCTCAGTGGTTAGAGCCTGTGCACCAGAGAACTGCGGGTTTGATTCCTGGTCACAGGAACATACCTGGGTTACAGGTTTGAGCCCAGTCCAGGTGTGTGTGGGAGGCAACCAATTGATGTGTCTCTCTCACATTGCTGTTCCTCTCCCCGCCCACCCTGTTCTCTCTCACCCCCTCCCCCTCTTTCCACGCTCTCTAAAAATCAATGAAAAAAATATCCTCACTCCTAGGGTGTCCAAGTCCACATAGTCCCTCAAAGGTGGGCATCTCTGCTGCTCTTGGGCCCATGGGGCACAAGAGATGAGGTATTTTTACCTAGACTCGGAGACCTAATGCCTGGGGTCCAGCCTCCCCGCGTGCACCCAGAAGCCATTTCCCCAAGGCCCCGTCCCTATTGATAGAAATTTCTCTTCTGCATTTCTGTTTTCCATGGCACTGTCCCCTCCTTCCTGTGCACAATCCCATTAAAGTGCTCAGGATTCTGAAAAACAGCCAGGCTTAAAAATGCTCCCTGAGGCAAATGACTACCTGCTGGGTACAAGGGCAGCGATGGGGCAGAGCACAGAAGTGATCCTGCCCCACCAACTTCCTCTCTTCCCGCAGAGGCCTGATTACCTGGATGCTGTGGTTACTTGGGAGGGCACTGGGGAGGAATGAAATCATCAGGAGCATCAAGCCAAAGCTCCGTTTTCAGGATTGGGGTTGGCTTTCTGATAGTCTTGCGTGTGCTGATAGCTTCCTGGAATTTGGGGAGGATGGGACACAGATGAGAGTTGGGAATCTTTCAGCATTATCCATTTTGATGTACCATCAGGTCATTCTAGATCTCACCACAGTTTCTTCATTTATGGTTTAAAATGGACTCTGCTGTTCATTGGCATGCCTTTAAGTGAGCATGAAGGCAGGCTCACTCTGTGCATAGCTTTTATATAGTTTAATGTATATATATAAAAGCCAAGTGACCGGAATGGCGGAACGACTGGAAGGACCGAAATGACTGCTCGCTATGATGCATACTGCGGTGGCCAACCAGCCCGATCAGAACCCTGATTGGCACCCCCACCTGCCCGTGGCCCCTCCCCCTGGCCAGCCCAGCCTGATCAGCCCCCATCAGGGTGAGCCGGCTGGACCCCACCCATGCACAAATTCATGCACCGGGCCTCTAGTATGATTATAAACTTTCAGGGCTGACTTTTTCCAAAGCTATCTGAATCATTTAGGATGTCAAATCACTGCTTTATTTTGGACTGGGTACACACAAGAATAGGTAGCAGGTTTCTGAGGCAAGAACCTGGACTTTTAGACTTAGAGACCTGAGTTCAGATATTTGCTCAGCTATTCACCAGGTGTGTGACCTTGAACAAGTTACTGAACTTCTCTGATCCTCTCAAAAGTGTTGGCTCCTTTCTACCCTCAAGGTTCTGCTCTGTGACAACGGACTAATGGGCATAAGGGATTATTAATGATGGTAAGAACTACCATTAAGTGCTTATTATGTGCCAGGCACCCCAAGCACATTACCCCTTTTGGTGACTGTAAAGTGTAATAAGCACCCATTTAATAGTTCTTCAAAAGAGAGTATTATTGCCCCATTTTAAAGATGTATAACTTAATACCCAAATTTGGGAATAGATGAAGTCTGGCTACAAAGTGAAATTTTACTGGTTCTAATGTCTATACTCTTTCATTATATCACACTGCCTTATATCATCGATGCCTAAATCCTATGAAATGACTGTAATGCAAAGACTTTGAGGCATAGTAGCAGTCTGGTGATTATAGAGCTGCTCTTTTAGAATCTCTCAAGCTTTGGGATGAGTGACCACTTAGGCTAGGCTGCCAGTGAGTAGATCCAGGACTGTAAAAAAAAAAGAAAGGTGGTACTTTAGGCAATGGGAGTGACTTGTATTTGATTCAGCAGACTGGACTCATGGAAAGTTCATAGAGCCGAG